TGCAGGTGACATAGCTAGTTAGAGAAAGTGAACTGCAAAAACACTGGCTCTCTTAAAGGAAGCAGATCACAAAAGAGGACTATAAGTTCAGATAAGACAGTATATATGGTTGTATCAAAGGGCAAACAATATAAACTATGGCTATATATGGATAGATAATATGAAAATCAGACAAATGGAAACACACCAGTAGTTGGGTACAAAATAAAATCTAAAATACAATCTGGAAATATAATAAATATATCCTATATCTGCTAAATAAAAATGCTCTGTCTTGCAACATCAAGGTCGTATTATACACACAGCTGCTGAAAGGAACAAACTAAACTCGCAATTTTGACATTCTGCGTCGTAACGCAATAAGTGAAATTACTCAAATTTCACACAAGAATACCTTAGGGTTCCACAAGTCTGTTGACACCTTTTTTTTTGCATTTGGGTCACCATAATTTTAGGTGTACTGCCTTTCCCGTTAGTATGTTGTATGGCCTACCCTTGTGTGAATCAATGACTTAGCATCACATGTCTGATGTGGGATGGATGGCCCCCTCTTCCTGGTGTGCCTGGAACAGATCACCGCCATTGGCTAGAACGTCTCAGCAACAAACACCTCTTCGCAGCTCATCCCCCAAGACATCTCTGCAGACAGAGATGGACAAGGAAGGATTTGAATGTTGTTGGTAGCCAGGAACTGCGGGGTCAGCCATGCAGAATAGGGTCTGGCATTGTCCTGTTGAAAAAGATATATGTTGGCATTCCACATTAAAGATGTGGTTGAAAGAATTTCACTAATTACGTTGCGCATTCAAGCTTCCTTCAGTGTGCACAAATTGACTCCTTTTAATTATTGTAACTGATCATTCCCCACACCATTACACCTCCACCACTGTGCAGCAGAGCTTCGTCAACATAATTTTGGGCTAAACCTTCATTTCACCTACGGTAGACACTACACTATCTATAATGACACTGCAACAAAAAGAAAGAATCGTCACTGAACCAGACACGTCTCCATTGATTGTCGCCTGCCCCATTGATTGTCGCCTGCCCAGAGTCAATGTTGGTTGCCCAAAGAGGTTGATTCTTGCCTTGACAACACGTACGGACAGGCCCTTGCTAAGGTTGTCATGCCCAAAGTCCAACGTCATGCAGTCTCTTCCAAAACAGGTTTATCAGACACATGACAAACCTGAGGTGAAGAAGCCGAATAAAGGGATTCTCTGCTGCTGTTCTTAGACCACCGCGATGTCGGTCTTCCATTAAATCACTGGCTTAGAACTGGTGACAGTGGACTGCTGGCACTCTGATGCAACCTGACTTTCTCCTGCCTGCTATTGGCCAATAGCAAGATTCCTTATATTTATTAATAGAGACGTTATATGTGACCGCTCAAAATGAACTGAGTGTTTTGATGAAGTGTAATCCTTTTATAGAGTTGTAGTTGTGTAGGCAGTGAATAGTTTTTACACCAAATTGTGTTACTTTCTCATGCGCGCATCATAAGCTGTGCTCACAAATATAGTCTCAAACATCACTGACCACTGAGCTGTCATTATTACAAAAACCCATGCAATTCATGCCCACATGTCCACTGGATATGGCAAACAACATCTGAGACTGCTTTTCATATACCCGAGTACAATATTTTATTTGCAAACTAATACAAAACGCACCATTGGAAAACTGCAATTCTTTTCTCTTTAAAAAAATAATAAAACACTGAGCAAGTGTCGTATGTGATCTAAAGCCGGAAGAGCACCTTAATATACAATTTACAGAAGAGTCTTATCATGAATATTTGGACCCATCAAAGATATCAACAACAGGCAATTGACGATTAAAAGAACAGTGAAAATAATAATCTGTTGACATCAGCACAAATTACTGGCATTAGGTGAGCTTATAAGTGGACTAAAATGGCTGGAACTTGGAGAGAAAATGACAAACACTGTACACAAAGAGAGAATGGCAAACACTGTGGACATAGAGAGAGAGAGAATGGCAAACACTGTGGATGTAGAGAGAGAGAGAGAATGGCAAACACAAGAGAGTTAAATGGGAGTAGACCATGAGGCAGACCAAGACAATTGTGGAGAGATAATATCCAGTCAAACCTACAGAGGCTTGGAGTCATCAACTGGAAAGAGATGGTCAGTCACAGAGATGAATGGAAGCAGCAGATGTCTGCAATGTGAACCTCAAGGGCTTGGAATGATGACGAAGACCAGCCTCAGAGATGAATGGAAGCAGCAGATGTATATATGTGTGTATACATATACACACACGCATATATATGTATGTATATATAAATATATATATATACACACACACACACATATATACATACATACATACACACATACATACATTGAAAGAAATACAACTACTGTTTGCGAGATTGGTGTCTGGAAGAGCCATATCTATGTATACATATACATACATACATACATACATACATACATACATACATACATACATACATACATACATACATACATACATACATACATACATACATACATACATACATACATACATACATACATAGAAAGAAATACAACTGTATGAAAGATTGGTGTCTGGAAGAGCCATATGTATGTACAGCATGACCAATTTGTGACTCTGTGAAAAGAAAGTTTGTTGGTTTGTAATTCTCCCACTATTACTGACCCCAGAGACATTGATCTACTACTTATTTCACTGAAAGAGATCGTCCTGTACTCACCCCCCCCACCCCCCCACCCCCACCCCCTCCCCACACCATGAGGTGTACCATTCCTCTGAGAACTTGTTATCTCCCCGGTGACCTTGTTCAGCTTGAAACCTGCAGCAACTGTTTGTTTTTATTATGATTGCCCAGATCAACTGTTTGTTTTTATTATGATTGCCCAGATCAACTGTGTGTTTGTATTATGATTGCCCAGATCAACTGTGTGTTTGTATTATGATTGCCCAGATCAACTGTGTGTTTGTATTATGATTGCCCAGATCAACTGTGTGTTTGTATTATGATTGCCCAGATCAACTGTGTGTTTGTATTATGATTGGCCAGATCAACTGTGTGTTTTTATTATGATTGGCCAGATCAACTGTGTGTTTTAATTATGATTGGCCAGATCAACTGTGTGTTTTAATTATGATTGGCCAGATCAACTGTGTGTTTATTTTATGATTGGCCAGATCAACTGTGTGTTTTTATTATGATTGGCCAGATCAACTGTGTGTTTGTATTATGATTGGCCAGATCAACTGTGTGTTTTTATTATGATTGCCTAGATCAACTGTGTGTTTTTATTATGATTGCCCAGATCAACTGTGTGTTTGTATTATGATTGCCCAGATCAACTGTGTGTTTGTATTATGATTGCCCAGATCAACTGTGTGTTTGTATTATGATTGCCCAGATCAACTGTGTGTTTGTATTATGATTGGCCAGATCAACTGTGTGTTTTTATTATGATTGGCCAGATCAACTGTGTGTTTTAATTATGATTGGCCAGATCAACTGTGTGTTTTAATTATGATTGGCCAGATCAACTGTGTGTTTATTTTATGATTGGCCAGATCAACTGTGTGTTTGTATTATGATTGCCCAGATCAACTGTGTGTTTGTATTATGATTGCCCAGATCAACTGTGTGTTTGTATTATGATTGGCCAGATCAACTGTGTGTTTTTATTATGATTGGCCAGATCAACTGTGTGTTTTAATTATGATTGCCCAGATCAACTGTGTGTTTGTATTATGATTGGCCAGATCAACTGTGTGTTTTTATTATGATTGGCCAGATCAACTGTGTTTTTATTATGATTGGCCAGATCAACTGTGTGTTTTTATTATGATTGGCCAGATCAACTGTTTGTTTTTATTATGATTGGCCAGATCAACTGTGTGTTTTTATTATGATTGGCCAGATCAACTGTGTGTTTTAATTATGATTGGCCAGATCAACTGTGTGTTTTTATTATGATTGGCCAGATCAACTGTGTGTTTTTATTATGATTGGCCAGATCAACTGTGTGTTTGTATTATGATTGCCCAGATCAACTGTGTGTTTGTATTATGATTGCCCAGATCAACTGTGTGTTTGTGTTATGATTGGCCAGATCAACTGTGTGTTTGTATTATGATTGCCCAGATCAACTGTGTGTTTGTATTATGATTGCCCAGATCAACTGTTTGTTTTTATTATGATTGGCCAGATCAACTGTTTGTTTTTATTATGATTGGCCAGATCAACTGTGTGTTTTTATTATGATTGGCCAGATCAACTGTGTGTTTTAATTATGATTGGCCAGATCAACTGTGTGTTTTTATTATGATTGGCCAGATCAACTGTGTGTTTTTATTATGATTGGCCAGATCAACTGTGTGTTTGTATTATGATTGCCCAGATCAACTGTGTGTTTGTATTATGATTGCCCAGATCAACTGTGTGTTTGTGTTATGATTGCCCAGATCAACTGTGTGTTTGTATTATGATTGCCCAGATCAACTGTGTGTTTGTATTATGATTGCCCAGATCAACTGTTTGTTTTTATTATGATTGCCCAGATCAACTGTTTGTTTTAATTATGATTGCCCAGATCAACTGTTTGTTTGTATTATGATTGGCCAGATCAACTGTTTGTTTTAATTATGATTGCCTAGATCAACTGTGTGTTTGTATTATGATTGGCCAGATCAACTGTGTGTTTGTATTATGATTGGCCAGATCAACTGTTTGTTTGTATTATGATTGCCCAGATCAACTGTGTGTTTGTATTATGATTGGCCAGATCAACTGTGTGTTTTTATTATGATTGCCTAGATCAACTGTGTGTTTGTATTATGATTGCCCAGATCAACTGTGTGTTTGTATTATGATTGCCCAGATCAACTGTGTTTTTATTATGATTGGCCAGATCAACTGTGTGTTTGTATTATGATTGGCCAGATCAACTGTGTGTTTGTATTATGATTGGCCAGATCAACTGTGTGTTTGTATTATGATTGGCCAGATCAACTGGAGCAGAAGAGCATCCAGGAGAAGCTGGATGTGCTGACCATGAAGCTCAGTGAGATGGAGGTGGAGATGCACCAGCTGGCAGAGAGCAAGTATGTCCACTTTCACCCCAACCTGTTGACGGCAGACAGTTTAGTGCAGCGAGTCCATGATGTCCAGACTGAGATGTCTGCCATTGAAGACAAGGTCGACACAGAAGTAAGCCAGTCATTGAGTTCCATTTGTTGGCTGAAGTCACTTGTTGACTGCTATCAACTGTTGACGTATAAAGTGTTGACTGAGACAACCTGTTGAAATTAATTTTGAGATGAACAGTTGACTGAAATAGCCTGTTGACTGAGACAACCTGAGTAGATAAACTGTTGACTGAGACAACCTGAGCAGATAAACTGTTGACTAAAATCACTTGTTTACTGAGATAAACTCTAGCAGAAACATTGAGAGTAAATAAAACAGTTGCTAGTATACTTCTTCTGAAAGTCCATGCCATGTGGAGTTCGTAATTATTTCTGTCCCCTCTACTCTAATCTTCTATGCCGTGTGGAGTTGGTAATTATGTCTGTCCCCTCTACTCTAATCTTCTATGCCGTGTGGAGTTGGTAATCATGTCTGTCCCGTCTACTCTAATCTTCTATGCCGTGTGGAGTTGGTAATCATGTCTGTCCCCTCTACTCTAATCTTCTATGCCGTGTGGAGTTGGTTATCATGTCCGTCCCCTCTACTCTAATCTTCTATGCCGTGTGGAGTTGGTAATCATGTCTGTCCACAACCTGTCCCAAGTACTTGAACTTATCAGCTTGCTTAAGGATGGTTCCATTTATTGAGGATACCCAAGTACTCAGCACGTGCTGTTGCATAGTGCAGGGCCCATTTCCCTTTGTGATGACTATTACTTCTGTTTTTCTGCTGTTCAAACTAAGACCCTTGTTTTGTGATGACTATTACTTCTGTTTTTCTGCTGTTCAAACTGAGACCCTTGTTTTGTGATGACTATTACTTCTGTTTTTCTGCTGTTCAAACTAAGACCCTTGTTTTGAGTTGATGTTAATTATGTCCATCATTTCTTGCAGTTGTTTAATTTTCAGTAATCAAAGTTTTCATCGTCAGCATTGCAAATTGTTCATAATATGCCCAGTGACATATATTTCTGGCATACCATACATGAATCTAATTGTTATCCACTGTGTAAATTCAATAAATTGTGTGATAGTACACATCCATGTCTAATGTCTACCCTTACCCATGAGGTGTCCCACAGGCTAGGGGAAGAAAGGAGTCCCCTGTTGGTCAGGTTTACCCCATCCCTAATGTCTTCCCTTACCCATGAGGTGTCCCACAGGCTAGGGGAAGAAAGGAGTCCCCTGTTGGTCAGGTTTACCCCATCCCTGTCTAATGTCTTCCCTTACCCATGAGGTGTCCCACAGGCTAGGGGAGGGAAGGAGTCCCTGGTTGGTCAGGTTTACCCCAACCCTGTTACTTGTAAACGAAAAACATTCATTAACTTGTTCTTGCACAGCCCTAAATTATTTCAGCTCTGTCACAAAATCTTTATTGTAGAGTTCTGGGCACTCTATCCTGCCAGTGAAAGCGGAGCTGAGGATAAGATGATAGTGCTGGAGAGAGTACACACTGATAAACCTAACAGAAATACCACTAGAATGTCTTTGCAGTGGAACCCCCCAGAGCAGAGAATAAAGGGGGACCAGAAGACATGGGAATGTGAATTAAAATAAGAGATTATTGATATGGGGAGGAGATGACCTAAGCTGCGCTGGGGGGGGGGGGGGGGTAGGAAGCACGAGTTGGTTTGGGGGGGGGGGGGGGGGGGGGGGGGGTTAAAAGGCTGAAGAAACATAGCTTAACAGTTCTCAGGTCAGTCTGCCATTTGTTGTAAATCATTTTATGGCTTTCGATCCCTGGCGGAGCCAGACTTTTAAAAAAAAATGACCTTGGCTCCCACGTTGACCCAGCCTTGAGTGGGTACCGGGTGCAGTCCCCAGAAAGTCAAGGCGGCCGGCATGATGCTGACCATATCACCCATCTTGTGCCGATTAGTCTTAAAAAATATAGGGCTAGCCCTATATGCCCTATACGCCTGGAAAAGGGTCCTTTCCTTCCCTTTTTAAAAAAAATATTTTATGGCTTCCAGTTACGGCTGCACATATAACACTCTTAGAATAGCGTCTCAGGTATTATAGAGGAAATTAATTCTTGCCTATTCACTTTGTCAGGAAATGAATATTTTAATCACTGAATTGCGCATAATTCTCGCTGTAGTTACACTGAAATGGCTGTGTAGCGGTTGTAATCAGCTGTGTTGTGTTATCATAAGGTCAAAGGTCAGCTGTGCACATCGGTAAGAGAGTACCAGAGCCTCAACCAAGAACTGCTGGAGGCTAAAACTGTCCTGGCTGGCCTGTCCTATCTGGCAGTTATCCATGAGTTTCTAGAGGTGAGTGACTAAACTCCACTGTGTGCTGGCAGTCACTACCAACCTGTTATAGCTCCAGTTATCTGTTGTCATGCACTGTCTAGAGTTAGCGTTATCTATAGTCATGTACTGTCTAGATTTATCTGTAGACATTCACTGTCTAGAGTTTTCTGTAGTTGTGTGCTATCTAAAGTTTTCTGTAGTTGTGTGCTATATAGAGTTTCATGTAGTTGTGAGTTGTGTGCTATCTAGAGTTTTCTGTAGTTGTGTGCTATCTAAAGTTTTCTGTAGTTGTGTGCTATCTAGAGTTTCATGTAGTTGTGTGCTATCTAAAGTTTTCTGTAGTTGGTGCTATCTAGAGTTATCTGTAGTTATGTGCTATCTAGAGTTTTCTGTAGTTGTGTGCTATCTGTTTTCTGTAGTTGTGTGCTATCTAGAGTTTCATGTAGTTGTGAGTTGTGTGCTATCTGTAGTTTTTTGTAGTTGTGTGCTATCTAGTGTTATCTGTAGTTGTGGGCTATCTAGAGTTTTCTGTAGTCGTGTGCTGTCTAGAGTTTTCTATAGTTGTGTGCTATCTAGAGTTTTCTGTAGTTGTTGGCTATATAGAGTTATCTGTAGTTGTGTGCTATCTAGAGTTTTCTGTAGTTGTGTGCTATCTAGAGTTTTCTGTAGTGTGCTATCTAGAATTATCTGACGACATGTGCTATCAAAAGTTATATGTAGACATATGCCGTCTAGTTATCTGTAGACATATGCCGTCTAGTTATCTGTATACATATGCTGTCTAGTTATCTGTAGACATATACTGTCTAGTTATCTTTAGACGTGCTGTCTAGTTATCTGTAGACATGTGCTGTCTAGAGTTATATGTATACATGTGCTATCTAGTTATCTGTAGACATATGCTGTCTAGTTATCTGTAGACATTTGCTGTCTACTGTAGACATATGCTGTCTAGTTATCTGTAGACATATGCTGTCTAGTTATCTGTAGACATTTGCTGTCTAGTTATCTGTAGACATATGCTGTCTAGTTATCTGTAGACATTTGCTGTCTACTGTAGACATATGCTGTCTAGTTATCTGTAGACATATGCTGTCTAGTTATCTGTAGACATATGATGTCTAGTTATCTGTAGACATATGATGTCTAGTTATCTGTAGACATATGCTGTCTAGTTATCTGTAGACATATTTTGTCCAGTTATCTGTAGACATATGTTGTCTAGGTATCTGTAGACATATGCTGTCTAGTTATCTGTAGACATGGGCTGTTTAGTTATCTGTAGACATGGGCTGTTTAGTTATCTGTAGACATATGCTGTCTAGTTATCTGTAGACATATGTTGTTTAGTTATCTGTAGACATGTGTTGTCTAGTTATCTGTAGACATGTGCTGTCTAGTTATCTGTAGACATGTGCTGTCTAGTTATCTGTAGACATGTGTTGTCTAGTTATCTGTAGACATGTGTTGTCTAGTTATCTGTAGACATATGTTGTCTAGTTATCTGTAGACATATGTTGTCTAGTTATCTGTAGACATATGTTGTCTAGTTATCTGTAGACAAATGCTGTTTAGTTATCTGTAGACATATGCTGTCTAGTTATCTGAAGACATGTGTTGTCTAGTTATCTGTAGACATATGTTGTCTAGTTATCTGTAGACAAATGCTGTTTAGTTATCTGTAGACATAAGCCGTCTAGTTATCTGTAGGCATATGTTGTCTAGTTATCTGTAGACATATGTTGTCTAGTTACCTGTAGACATGCTGTCTAATTATCTGTAGACAAATGTTGATTTGCATTATGACAGACACTTTCTGGAGCAGCCCCATGAAACAAATATTTAAAGAAGATCAGAATGAGAGATCATAGTGAGATCAGATTTTTCTGACAGGAGCTGAAGTGATAGTTTCTGACACCACTGGATTGAAGTCTTACACAGTGTCTCAAATAATATAGGGGTGAGGGCACCCACACAAGCCTAGCACACTATCAATGGCATAGACACACACACTCCCACACATACCCATGCACACACACAGGCCCATGCACCCTCAGACATGCCCATACACACTCACACAGTGTAGTGAGGCATGCTGTCTAAGTGAACTCCCAGACTAGAGGAAAGAATGTCTGGCTAGCACATTGGCTCTGTCTAAGTGAACTCCCAGACTGTAGAAGAAGTGAAGTCAGGCTAGCACATTGGCTCTGTCTAAGTGAACTCCCAGCCTGTAGAGGAAGTGAAGTCAGGCTAGCACATTGACGCTGTCTAAGTGAACTTCCAGCCTGTAGAGGAAGTGAAGTCAAGCTAGCACATTGGCTCTTTCTAAGTGAACTCCCAGCCTGTAGAAGAAGTGAAGTCAGGCTAGCACTTTGACGCTGTCTAAGTGAACTTCCAGCCTGTAGAGGAAGTGAAGTCAAGCTAGCACATTGGCGCTAAGTAAACTCCCAGACTGTAGAAGAAGTGAAGTCAGGCTAGCACTTTGACGCTGTCTAAGTGAACTTCCAGCCTGTAGAGGAAGTGAAGTCAAGCTAGCACATTGGCGCTAAGTAAACTCCCAGACTGTAGAAGAAGTGAAGTCAGGCTAGCACATTGGCGCTAAGTGAACTTCCAGCCTGTAGAGGAAGTGAAGTCAGGCTAGCACATTGACACTGTCTAAGTGAACTCCTAGCATGTAGAGGAAGTGAAGTCAGGCTAGCACATTGATGCTGTCTAAGTGAACTTCCAGCCTGTAGAGGAAGTGAAGTAAGGCTAGCACATTGGCTCTGTCTAAGTGAACTCCTAGCCTGTAGAGGAAGTGAAGTCAGGCTAGCACATTGGCGCTGTCTAAGAGAACTCCTAGCCTGTAGAGGAAGTGAAGTCAGGCTAGCACATTGGCTCTGTCTAAGTGAACTCCTAGCCTGTAGAGGAAGTGAAGTCAGACTAGCACATTGGCGTTGTGTCTAAGTGAACTTCCAGCCTGTAGAGGAAGTGAAGTCAGGCTAGCACATTGATGCTGTCTAAGTGAACTTTCAGCCTGTAGAGGAAGTGAAGTCAGGCTAGCACTTTGACGCTGTCTAAGTGAACTTCCAGCCTGTAGAGGAAGTGAAGTCAGGCTAGCACTTTGACGCTGTCTAAGTGAACTTCTAGCATGTAGAGGAAGTGAAGTCAGGCTAGCACATTGGCGCTAAGTAAACTCCCAGACTGTAATATACATAATACAAACATACATCAGAACATACACCAACACACATACATACATACACAAACATAAAATACATACATAGACATACTTGCACACATACACATGCATGCATGCATACATACACATACAATCACATATACAGACACTCACATACAATCACACACATGCATACATCCACATACATGCATACATATATACATACACAAACATGCATACGTACACACATCCATACTTATACAGCTACATAGGCATACATACATTACACAGATCCACGCACATACATACACACTTATACAATCACACATAACAGGAAAATACATACACACATACATAACTGCAAACACAATACACACACACACCCACAATCAAACATACACTCATATATAATCAAACATACACCTGCATACATACACCCACATACTTACAACATACGTACATAAATACACATACATACAACCTACATACATAATTACACACACATACTTACAACATACATACATAATTACACACACATACTTACAACATACTTACAACATACATACATAAATACACACACATACTTACAAACCTAAATATAGTGCTAGGTCAGAGGTCAGGCTAGCACATTGATGCTTTATAAGTGAACTCCCACCCAGCCTGTAGAGAAAAGGAGGTCAGGATAGCACATTGGCGCTGTTTCAGTGAACTCCCAGACTGTGGGCTAGCACATTGATGCTGTTTCAGTGAACTCCCAGACTGTGGGCTAGCACATTGATGCTGTTTCAGTGAACTCCCAGACTGGGCTAGCACATTGATGCTGTTTCAGTGAACTCCCAGACTGGGCTAGCACATTGATGCTGTTTCAGTGAACTCCCAGACTGTGGGCTAGCACATTGATGCTGTTTCAGTGAACTCCCAGACTGTGGGCTAGCACATTGATGCTGTTTCAGTGAACTCCCAGACTGGGCTAGCACATTGATGCTGTTTCAGTGAACTCCCAGACTGGGCTAGCACATTGATGCTGTTTCAGTGAACTCCCAGACTGTGGGCTAGCGCATTGATGCTGTTTCAGTGAACTCCCAGACTGTGGGCTAGCACATTGATGCTGTTTCAGTGAACTCCCTGACTGGGCTAGCACATTGATGCTGTTTCAGTGAACTCCCAGACTGGGCTAGCACATTGATGCTGTTTCAGTGAACTCCCAGACTGTGGGCTAGCACATTGGCGCTGTTTCAGTGAACTCCCAGACTGTGGGCTAGCACATTGATGCTGTTTCAGTGAACTCCCAGACTGTGGGCTAGCACATTGATGCTGTTTCAGTGAACTCCCAGACTGTGGGCTAGCACATTGATGCTGTTTCAGTGAACTCTCAGACTGGGCTAGCACATTGATGCTGTTTCAGTGAACTCCCAGACTGGGCTAGCACATTGATGCTGTTTCAGTGAACTCCCAGACTGTGGGCTAGCGCATTGATGCTGTTTCAGTGAACTCCCAGACTGTGGGCTAGCACATTGATGCTGTTTCAGTGAACTCCCAGACTGGGCTAGCACATTGATGCTGTTTCAGTGAACTCCCAGACTGGGCTAGCACATTGATGCTGTTTCAGTGAACTCCCAGACTGTGGGCTAGCACATTGGCGCTGTTTCAGTGAACTCCCAGACTGTGGGCTAGCACATTGATGCTGTTTCAGTGAACTCCCAGACTGTGGGCTAGCACATTGATGCTGTTTCAGTGAACTTCCAGACTGTGGGCTAGCACATTGATGCTGTTTCAGTGAACTCCCAGACTGTGGGCTAGCACATTGATGCTGTTTCAGTGAACTCCCAGACTGGGCTAGCACATTGATGCTGTTTCAGTGAACTCCCAGACTGTGGGCTAGCACATTGATGCTGTTTCAGTGAACTCCCAGACTGGTGGGCTAGCACATTGATGCTGTTTCAGTGAACTCCCAGACTGTGGGCTAGCACATTGATGCTGTTTCAGTGAACTTCCAGACTGGGGGCTAGCACATTGATGCTGTTTCACTGGTGTTTCTTGCAGACATCTGCCAGATCTCTGGAAGCAAAGCAGTACAGCCAGGCAGCAGTAGCTCTATGCAAGCTGCAGACCTTCTTCCAACATCCTCTGACCAATCAGGATGAGAAGATTCACATCCTGGCCGCCATGAGGATTGAACTAACGGTCAGTGCTTTCACAACACACTTGACTTCAGTTGTCTTTTTCCCACTTCACCTCTGCTTTTAACTGTATCTTTGGCCTGCCTATATTTGGACAATATATAACAGTAAATGTGATTGTCCTAGTGTGTGTTGGCACATCTGGTCAGTTCTGTGTGTGTAAGGTTAGACCAGACTGAGGATGTGCAGACAGCAGTCATTGAACTAGTTGTTCTCTCTTACTCTCAGTTCTTCAACTCTCTATTTCTGTCTGTCAATATCCCTCTCTCTTTCTCTGATCTCTTCCTTCCTCTTGTCTTTCTCACACTTCACCCCAGCCCTTCCAGTTCTATTGTTGCCACACATGCTTCTTGTGAGGAAGCAGGACCAAATGGGTTGTATGTAAATCTTGTTTACTTTGAAAATATTTGGGTTGATATGATTTATATGTTTGTGAATACTTAAAAGGAGATTGTCCTGTTTGATATGTTTGTGTATGTCACTAGTTATGTTCCCGTGTGGACAGATTGTTGTTTTGTTTGATATGTTTGTGTATGTCACTAGTTATGTTCCCGTGTGGACAGATTGTTGTTTTGTTTGATATGTTTGTGTATGTCACTAGTTATGTTCCCGTGTGGATAAATTGTTGTTTTGTTTGATATGTTTGTGTATGTCACTAGTTATGTTCCCATGTGGATAAATTGTTGTTTTGTTTGATATGTTTGTGTCACTAGTTATGTTCCTGTATGGATAGATTGTTGTTTTGTTTGATATGTTTGTTTGTGTCACTAGTTATGTTCCTGGGTGGATAAATTGTTGTTTTGTTTGATGTGTTTGTGTCACTAGTTATATTCCCTGTGGATACACTGTTCACTCACTTTCCAGACCGTCATGATCTATCCTTGCCTCTGCACTGTTCACTCACTTCCAGACCGTCATGATCTATCCATGCCTCTGCACTGTTCACTCACTTTCAGACCGTCATGATCTATCCTTGCCTCTGCACTGTTCACTCACTTTCAGACCGTCATGATCTATCCTTGCCTCTGCACTGTTCACTCACTTTCCAGACCGTCATGATCTATCCTTGCCTCTGCACTGTTCATTAACTTCCCAGACTGTCATAATTTATCCTTGCCTCTACACTGTTTACTCACTTCCCAGACTGTCATAATTTATCCTTGCCTCTGCACTGTTTACTCACTTCCCAGACTGTCATAATTTATCCTTGCCTCTACACTGTTTACTCACTTCCCAGACTGTCATAATTTATCCTTGCCTCTGCACTGTTCATTAACTTCCCAGACTGTCATAATTTATCCTTGCCTCTGCACTGTTTACTCACTTCCCAGACTGTCATAATTTATCCTTGCCTCTGCACTGTTTACTCACTTCCCAGACCGTCATGATCTATCCTTGCCTCTGCACTGTTCATTAACTTCCCAGACTGTCATAATTTATCCTTGCCTCTGCACTGTTTACTCACTCCCAAAGGGCCCTCACAACATCTAGCTTGTCATACATCAGTTCACCACCAAGTAGTGCGTAACTTACCAGTCTGTTTGCCTGCTCATTTTCCAACACACTGGCATAACTGAAGAAAATATCCAAAGGATGCTAACTACCTGGGACCTCTGAAGTGATGCTTGCCACTCTGCACAGAGCATGCTGATTTCACATTTCTCAACAAGCGAGTTAGTTACAATCACGGTATGTGTTTACAGCTGATTCTCACGCCATTGCAAGGCAGCAGTGACTGCCTCCACCTCCATTCCAAAACTAGACATTGTTATATCATATGCCAGGCATTGTTGCACTAAGTGATGTCCATTCGCTTTTTCTGTGAACCTACATGCACTTCGTCTGCCCCCCAACATAGATCCATCTGTATAGATAATCACATCACCTGGGAGGCAATTGTCGTGAATCATTTGTTGAACTGATTCTGCAGCGCCAGCTGGCCAGTCCCTGCACTTATGACCTTAAGTGATAAAAACCCTACACAAGTCTGAAACTTGCTCGGTCACTGACTCACTCCTCTCCTCGCCCAAATTTATCAAGTCTGCACACATATCTAGTTGTGTCTTCATGTGTCTTCAGCTTGCACCATCGAAGACCTTCCTCTTTTCAGTCTGTGACCTTTAGCTCTACACAGGGCTTCATGCAGGAGGTGATTCTTGTCTGCAGCTACTCTGAGATATGACTTTGCTTGCAGATCTTTGAGCCTGTTTGTAATAGTAGGCAGTGCAAGTTTATATTGCATACATACTACCGGGGTATCTCTTGTACATCCCAGAATTACCCGCATGGCTTCATTCTGCATGTGTTCAAGTTTCATCAGCTGACTCTATGATATGGTAAGCATTCCAAGTCCATACTATCACCAACAGGATCACATGCTACCTCAGTTTGCTTTCTCTTTTGATGTTTCTGTCATTAATTGTGAGGCTTGGAACATCAGCTCTTAGAGTTCAATTGTCCAGAGGGTACCACAGAACAGCCATATTTTCTTAGTTGATGACCGCACCCATTTCTTCACACCAGTCAGTCACTTTGTCTAGTCACCTTTAGCTCTTGGGCTATTCGTTGCCTATCCCTCTCCTGCCTATATGCAAGAACATCATCCGTCAGTATTCTTCAAACACCTGGTTCTTCAAGTTTTGCAATCTTTCTTTTAAACACATTGAATAGCACCGGTGACATTGCAGAAACTCAAGGTAGTCCTGGGACGATATCATATGGTTCTGGGGTACCCAGCAACAGGCAACCGTTTGTGAATGGGATAGCAGGGACAAACCTCCTTCTCCATCAGCCCAGATCCTTCTCCATCAGCACAGATCCTTCTCCATCATCGCAGATGTCAACATATCATGTTCATGTCTGACTGTGCAGGCTCCCTCATAAACATGAAAAGCAAAAGTAGCTGCATTTGGCCAGGTTTCTGTTTGTGGACGGTAACTACCCAGACCCTTTGGCAAGAGCTCTTTCCTGTTCCAAAAACATTTGTAGTTGAAACAGCAATCATCTTCTCTAGCACCTTGCCAACAGTATTTGTTCACAGTGATAATCCTCAAGCCACTGAGTCTGGAATGATCTTTGGTTTTGGAAGAGGGATTAGTTGCTGTGTGCCCAGTTCTGTGGTACTGAAGCTGTTCTGATGCTCTGGTTAAAATGAAATGCTATCTCCTTCAAGCCTTCCTCACTCATGCTGTTCATATGGGCATACTTTACTCCATCATTATGATCAATTTGCTTCTCCCTTCAATTAGTCTGTTGTCATTTTTATATCATCATCAGTATAAATAACCTCTATTGTAATAGGCCAATCCTTCCCGTGCATCTGTCTGTGAAGTTTCCTAACCTCCTCAGTGATTGATCCCCTGCAGTTTCGTTCATCAACTGTTGCCATTGAGCTGTAAGATATCCTGTTTCACCTTGGACTGCCGGGAATGATTGGTGGTGACACAGAGGCAGCGATGCAAGAGCAATCAATGAAAGTTCACGCCCAAGAGACATGGTTCTATACACAGATGAGTCTCTAGTGAGGTTTTATTGCAAAGGTTGATGGACACTGTTTGAAAACAGAGAGCCTAGCATGTAACATCACAACATCCACTATAGGAATCAAGATGGAGGCTGTTGTGAGCAGGATATGGGCATGTAAAAGATTATGTCCCTTGGAAGTTTGGTCCATGTTTATGGAGCATCTATTTCCCTTAGTTCCAACTTTAAACTTGTTAAGGTAATTATATTTATAAATCCAACCGCATACCCCTGCACTGGGATTACATAGTCAATGTGTTGGGTTGTGTGTCAATGTGTAGGGTTATGTGTCAGTGTGTAGGGTTATGTGTCAGTGTATAGGGTTATGTGTCAGTGTGTAGGGTTATGTGTCAGTGTGTAGGGTTATGTGTCAGTGTGTAGGGTTATGTGTCAGTGTGTAGGGTTGTGTGTCAGTGTGTAGGGTTGTGTGTCAGTGTGTAGGGTTATGTGTCAGTGTGTAGGGTTATGTGTCAGTGTGTAGGGTTATGTGTCAGTGTGTAGGGTTATGTGTCAGTGTGTAGGGTTATGTGTCAGTGTGTAGGGTTATATGTCAGTGTGTAGGGTTATGATCACAGTTCCCATGTTTTGACTGTCACAGTGAACCACAGTTGCCCCCTTGTGTTTCCTAGGCCCAGTTTGTTCGACTGGAGTGTGATCTCTGTAACCTGTGGAAGGACTCCATCAAGTGGACACTCAAGACGTCACCCCCTGAGACTGCCAGCAACACTGACATCATGGAGCTGTCTGTGTCAGTGACATGTCCAGGAGATGACCATTCACAGCTGGAGCAGCTGGTTGAAGGGCTGCATGTGGTCAACCTTCTGCAGGGCAGGATGGCAGCATTTGCTGGCTGGTTCCAGAATGACCTAGTTCCATTTCTCACTGAGCATGTGAACTTGCAGATAGTGATGACTAATGTCAACCAGACCAGGACATTGCACATCAGCAGTCAGGATGGGCAGTCACTGTCTAAACCTGGCAACACTAGAACCAAGAGCAACATTAGTGAAGAGAAGATGTACACCTTTGTGTTTGCCAACCTCATCAACATCCTAGAGCAGCTCCACGCATTGTTCTTGCATGTTGGGTACGGACATCAAGATGGTGGACACCAGGATGCATCCCGCACTTCTCATGGCGGGCCTGGTGCTGGGACATTGATGTCTCTGCTGGGCCACTCTGTCAGTGGCTGGCTGCTGCATCTCTTGAAGACAACTGTGCTGGCCAAAGCTGTGCCTTCAAGTGCCAAGGATCTGGAGGGATTCAGTCAGGTGATTGCTGCCACACGTCTGCTGCAAGGTTGGTGCTAGTTGTTAGTCATTGGGATCTGTAGAGAATGTTCACTTTGTGTATCATTGGGGTCTGTAGAGAATGTTCACTTTGTGTATCATTGGGATCTGTAGAGAATGTTCACTTTGTGTATCATTGGGATCTGTAGAGAATGTTCACTTTGTGTATCATTGGGGTCTGTAGAGAATGTTCACTATGTGTATCATTGGGAGAATGTTCACTTTGTGTATCATTGGGAGAGAGAATGTTCACTTTGTGTATCATTGGGATCTGTAGAGAATGTTCACTTTGTGTATCATTGGGATCTGTAGAGAATGTTCACTTTGTGTATCATTGGGGTCTGTAGAGAATGTTCACTATGTGTATCATTGGGATCTGTAGAGAATGTTCACTTTGTGTATCATTGGGGTCTGTAGAGAATGTTCACTTTGTGTATCATTGGGATCTGTAGAGAATGTTCACTTTGTGTATCATTGGGGTCTGTAGAGAATGTTCACTTTGTGTATCATTGGGATCTGTAGAGAATGTTCACTTTGTGTATCATTGGGGTCTGTAGAGAATGTTCACTTTGTGTATCATTGGGGTCTGTAGAGAATGTTCACTTTGTGTATCATTGGGGTCTGTAGAGAATGTTCACTTTGTGTATCATTGGGGTCTGTAGAGAATGTTCACTTTGTGTATCATTGGGGTCTGTAGAGAATGTTCACTTTGTGTATCATTGGGATCTGTAGAGAATGTTCACTTTGTGTATCATTGGGGTCTGTAGAGAATGTTCACTTTGTGTATCATTGGGGTCTGTAGAGAATGTTCACTTTGTGTATCATTGGGTCTGTAGAGAATGTTCACTTTGTGTATCATTGGGGTCTGTAGAGAATGTTCACTTTGTGTATCATTGGGTCTGTAGAGAATGTTCACTTTGTGTTGCTCATTGGGGTCTGTAGAGAATGTTCACTTTGTGTATCATTGGGTCTGTAGAGAATGTTCACTTTGTGTCCTTGATCTTTGGGATCTGTAGAGAATGTTCATTTTGTGTATCATTGGGGTCTGTAGAGAATGTTCACTTTGTGTATCATTGGGATCTGTAGAGAATGTTCACTTTGTGTCATTGATCATTGGGGTCTGTAGAGAATGTTCACTTTGTGTATCATTGGGATCTGTAGAGAATGTTCACTTTGTGTCATTGATCATTGGGGTCTGTAGAGAATGTTCACTTTGTGTCCTTGATCATTAGGTCTGTAGAGAATGTTCACTTTGTGTATCATTGGGGTCTGTAGAGAATGTTCACTTTGTGCCCTTGATCATTGGGATCTGTAGAGAATGTTCACTTTGTGTCATTGATCATTGGGGTCTGTAGAGAATGTTCACTTTGTGTATCATTGGGATCTGTAGAGAATGTTCACTTTGTGTCCTTGATCATTGGGTCTGTAGAGAATGTTCACTTTGTGTCCTTGATCATTGGGTCTGTAGAGAACGTTCACTTTGTGTCCTTGATCATTGGATCTGTAGAGAATGTTCACTTTGTGTATTATTGGAATCTGTAGAGAATGTTCACTTTGTGTATTATTGGAATCTGTAGAGAATGTTCACTTTTTGTATTATTGGAATCTGTAGAGAATGTTCACATTGTGTATTATTGGAATCTGTAGAGAATGTTCACTTTGTGTATTATTGGAATCTGTAGAGAATTTTCACTTTGTGTATTATTGGAATCTGTAGAGAATGTTCACTTTGTGTATTATTGGAATCTGTAGAGAATGTTCACTTTGTGTATTATTGGAATCTGTAGAGAATGTTCACTTTGTGTATTATTGGAATCTGTAGAGAATGTTCACTTTGTGTATTATTGGAATCTGTAGAGAATGTTCACTTTGTGTATTATTGGAATCTGTAGAGAATGTTCACTTTGTGTATTATTGGAATCTGTAGAGAATGTTCACTTTGTGTATTATTGGAATCTGTAGAGAATGTTCACTTTGTGTATTATTGGAATCTGTAGAGAATGTTCACTTTGTGTATTATTGGAATCTGTAGAGAATGTTCACTTTGTGTATTATTGGAATCTGTAGAGAATGTTCACTTTGTGTATTATTGGAATCTGTAGAGAATGTTCACTTTGTGTATTATTGGAATCTGTAGAGAATGTTCACTTTGTGTATTATTGGAATCTGTAGAGAATGTTCACTTTGTGTATTATTGGAATCTGTAGAGAATGTTCACTTTGTGTATTATTGGAATCTGTAGAGAATGTTCACTTTGTGTATTATTGGAATCTGTAGAGAATGTTCACTTTTTGTATTATTGGAATCTGTAGAGAATGTTCACTTTGTGTTTTATTGGAATTTGTAGAGAATGTTCACTTTGTGTATTATTGGAATCTGTAGAGAATGTTCACTTTGTGTATTATTGGAATCTGTAGAGAATGTTCACTTTGTGTATTATTGGAATCTGTAGAGAATGTTCACTTTGTGTATTATTGGAATCTGTAGAGAATGTTCACTTTGTGTATTATTGGAATCTGTAGAGAATGTTCACTTTGTGTATTATTGGAATCTGTAGAGAATGTTCACTTTGTGTATTATTGGAATCTGTAGAGAATGTGCACTTTGTGTATTATTGGAATCTGTAGAGAATGTGCACTTTGTGTATTTTTGGAATCTGTAGAGAATGTTCACTTTGTGTATTATTGGAATCTGTAGAGAATGTTCACTTTGTGTATTATTGGAATCTGTAGAGAATGTTCACTTTGTGTATTATTGGAATCTGTAGAGAATGTGCACTTTGTGTATTATTGGAATCTGTAGAGAATGTGCATTTGTAACACTGAGTTTTGCAGACAATGTTTACTTAGTGTTTGTTGATGACTGGGATCTGTAAAGAGTGTTCACTTTATGATGTTGGTCACTGGGATTTGTAAAGAGTGTTCACTTTATGATGTTGGTCACTGGGATCTGTAAAGAGTGTTCACTTTATGATGTTGGTCACTGAGATCTTTAAACATGCAGTCATGAGTCACAAGTAGATGTTGAATTAAGAATCAACATCACAACACTCAAAACACTCCCATAAGTGCTCAGTCCCCATCATCAGCAGCAGGCAAAGAGTTCCAATTCCGATGGTAGCAGTGTTGAGCGCTGATAGTATATCCGTCTCATCCTTCTCCTGAGTGTTGAGCGCTGATAGTATATCCATCTCATCCTTCTCCTGAGTGTTGAGCGCTGATAGTATATCCATCTCATCCTTCTCCTGAGTGTTGAGTTTCCCCCCAGATCTAGTCACTCCTCGCAGCACAGTTCTCCTCAGACCGTAATGATCTATCTACACCTCCGCACTGTTCACTCGTTCCCAAAGGGCCCTCACAACATCTAGCTTCTCATACATCAGTTCATCACCAAGTGTTGCAGAGCCAGCCAGTCTATCTGCCTGCTCATTTCCCAACACACCAGTATGGCCTGGAGAAAATATCCAAAGGACCCGGGACCTCTAAAGTGATGCTTGCCACTTTGCACGAAGCATGCCTGTCTTCGCCTTCCTGAGCATGCTTTGTGAGTCAGTTACAGTCACGGCATGTGTGTACAGCTAATTCTCAAGCCAGCGGAAGGCAGCAGTGACTGCCTCCACCTCGATTCTCAAACTAGTTGTTGTGATAGTATATGCAAGGCTTTGCTGCACTCGGCGACGTCCATTCGCCTTTGCTATGAAACACCATGCACTGTGCCCCTCAACACAGAGAGAGCCATCTGTATAGATAATCAGATCACTTGGGAGGAAATTGCCTCTGCACTTGCCTAACTTGATTAGAACCCTACACAAGTCTGAAACTTGTTATGACACCTTGACCCACTCCTCTGCTCTCTCATTATTGTCAAGCCTGCACACATGTCTAATTTTGTCGTCTCCATCCAAGACTTTCCTCTTTTCAGTCTGCGACCTTTAGCTCTACCCAGGGCTTCATGCAGGAGGTGCTTCTTGTCTGCAGGAAGATGTTCAAATAGATATTACAACTTTTGAGCTGCTTTTGACTTGTTTGTATATGTATTTGTTCATACATCTGTGGGTAAAGTATATATACTTGTTCAGACATCTGTGGGTAAAGTATAAATATTTGTTCAGACATCTGTGAAGTATATGTATTTGTTGACATCTGTGAGTGAAGTATATATATTTGTTGAAACATCTGTGAGTGATGAATCTGTTTTTGTTTAAACATTCTTAAATTCAGTATGTGTATTTGTTCAGACATGTGTGAATGAAGTATATGTATTAATTCAGACATCTGTGAATGAAGTAGATATATTTATTCAGACATCTGTGAATGAAGTAGATGTATTTGTTCAAATCTGTGAGGGAAGTAGATGTATTTGTTAGACATCTGTGAATGAAGTAGATGTATTTGTTCAGACATCTGTAAGTGAAGTAGATGTATTTGTTCAGACAAATGTGAATGAAGTAGATTTTTTTTTTCAAACATATGTGAGGGAAGTAGATGTATTTGTTAGACATCTGTAAATAAAGTAGATGTATTTGTTCAGACATGTGTACAAGATAGAAGAAGATGTTTTTATAAGACATCTGTGAATAAAGTAGATGTATTTGTTCAGACATCTGTAAATCAGACATTTGTGAATAAAGTAGATGTATTTGTTCAGACATCTGTGAGTGAAGTAGATGTATTTGTTCAGACATCTGTGAGTGAAGTAGATGCATTTGTTCAGACATCTGTGAGTGAACTATATGCATTTGTTTAAACATATGTGAATGAACTATATGTATTGGTTCAAACATTTGTGCCTGATATTCATTTAGTCATCTCATGTATCCACAGATCAGCTCTTGGCACTGGGCTTTATTCAGGCGGACAATCTGGCACTCATGGACTATGTGCAGAACGTCAACTTCCTGTTTGCCAATAAGAAAAGTCAGGCTACATTAGAGCAGGCTCACACACTGATGACCTCTGACCTCCATGAACATGTGGCCGTGGCAGAAGATAAGCCTTCAGGGGAATGGCCACCTCTGACCCCTGGCGGGGTCAAGAAAGGCGAGCGCATGGAGCTGGCAGGTGACCAGAAACTCAGTGATAATACACTGAGAATGCCCAGATGCAGGATCAGGTATGTGTCCTGGTATGGGATGTTTGGTCATTTGTGAGGTTTATAATTAAGTTTGTGGGGCTTGCTAACATTTGTGAACATTTGCGTGGTTTGTGAACATTTGCGTGGTTTGTGAACATTTGCGTGGTTTGTGAACATTTGTGTGGTTTATGAACATTTGCGTTGTTTGTGAACATTTGTGTGGTTTGTGAACAGTTGTGTGGTTTGTGAACAGTTGCGTGGTTTGTGAACATTTGCGTGGTTTGTGAACATTTGTGTGGTTTGTGAACATTTGTGTGGTTTGTGAACATTTGCGTTGTTTGTGAACATTTGTGTGGTTTGTGAACAGTTGTGTGGTTTGTGAACATTTGCGTGGTTTGTGAACATTCGTGTGGTTTGTGAACATTTGCGTGGTTTGTGAACATTTGCGTGGTTTGTGAACATTTGCGTGGTTTGTGAACATTTGTGTGGTTTGTGAACATTTGTGTGGTTTGTGAACATTCGTGTGGTGTGTGAACACTCGTGTGGTTTGTGAACATTTGCGTGGTTTGTGAACATTTGCGTGGTTTGTGAACATTCATGTGGTTTCATGGGTGCTTGTAGTGTACATTCACAACCACACCTAGCTACACTGTCACAGGTAATTGATCTGTATATGAGATTTTTTCACGCGAACTTGTAATTGACCCTGTTCTATGGGTGGTAAGATCGGAAGCCCATGTTTGCGCACTAAAACAAAAATCCTCTGTCAGTTGAAAATTGAAAAAGAGTAGCCTAATGGCACTGCTTGGGCAAAATTTGAAGTTCATAGTCTACCCAAAGTATTTTAGGATCCTCACCGGTGCTATGGAGTTTGTGCACTGCTTTGAAATTCTTCAGACTCAGGCTTAAGTAAGAAGTAGAACGAAGCATCTATGGGTTACTACCCTTGTGCCATGATGTTGATCCGTCGTCTAAACCTGTTTATTCCTACATCCACTCATTCCTACAGTCAGTCATTCCTACATCCACTCATTCCTACAGTCAGTCATTCTTACATCCACGCATTCCCACATCTATTCATTTCTACATCAACTCATTCCTACATGTATTCATTCCTATAGCCATTAATTACCCACTTACCCATCCACTTATTCCTAATGTCATTCTTACATCTACTCATTCCCACATCCATTCAGTTTTACATCAGCTCATTCCTACATAGATTCATTCCTTTAGCCATTAATTCCTACATCCACTTATTCCTAGTCCTTCTTACATCCACTCATTCCTACATCCACTCATTCCTACATGTATTAATTCCTACAGCCAGCTGTTCCTGCTTGCACATATTCCTTCAGCCATAACATGTCTACCTTTATGAATCATTGTTTTGTTGACAGTGAGAACATCCAAACATTGATGACGCTGGCTTATGACACATTACATGAAGCCACAGAGAGTTCCCCGGAGTGTGCCACACAAATGTTCTATGCTGTGAGAAGTCTGTTTGAACTCTTCTACCACGTGGTGCCCACCCACCATATACAGCAGTTTGAGAACTTTCCTCAGGTGGCAGGTGAGTGACATCATGGATGACCTTCCACTGGTTCAGTTTCCTTGTACATTTGGCACGGTTCAGCCATTTCAGCTCATGGGGGTCTCCAGTCATACCCAATCTTCAGATCGTTATATTATGCTCATGGGGGTATCCAGTCATATTTAATCTTCAGATCGTTATATTAGGCTCATTGGGGTCCCCAGTCGTACCCAACCTTCAGATCATTAAATTATGCTCATGTGGGGTCTGCAGTCATACCCAACCTTCAGATCGTTATATTAGGCTCATTGGGGTCTCCAGTCATACCCAATTCTTCAGATCGTTATATTAAGCTCATGGGGGTCTCCAGTCATACCCAATTTTTCAGATCGTTATATTATGCTCATGGGGGTATCTAGTCATATTTAATCTTCAGATCATTATAATATGCTCATGGGAGGGGGGGGGGGGGGGTCTCCAGTCATACCCAATCTTCAGATCGTTAAATTATGCTCATGGGGGTCTCCAGTCATACCCAATCTTCAGATCATTATATTAGGCTCATTGGGGTATCTAGTCATATTTAATCTTCAGATCGTTATAATATGCTCATGGGGGGGGTCCTCCAGTCATACCCAATCTTCAGATCGTTATATTAGGCTTATGTGTGGTCTAATCATACCCAACCTTCAGATCATTATATTAGGCTTATGTGTTGTCTACAGTCATACCCATTCTTCAGATCATTATATTAGGCTTATGTAGCGACTACAGTTTCGACAATTTGCGGTCTTTTCGGCAATTTCCGTTACCCGGAAACCGTTCAGAACTTGTTCGGGAAATGTCGGCTGGTTTCCGGATGGGTCCAAATCTCATGAAAATTCGCGATTGGTGGGAATTTGGACCAGCTATAAATAGCTGAAAACAGCGGAAGGGGGGGGGGGGGAAACCCGATTAACAGCGCATGTCTACGACAGCGGGACTCCTATGTTTTTCTGTTAGTATCAGTTTGATTATAAATAGCGGTAAATTCGAGGTTGGCTTTAGGCCTTAAACATTACCAGATGTGGTAATGCTAGTTACAATTGAATTCTACGTCCAATTTTACATTTGCATATAGAATTTCTTTTCCGTCTTTGGCTGTTTAGATTTACAGTGACATTTTTTAGGCAATCGCACGCGGCTGAGTGAGCTGAGTCTCACTGCCTGCCATCTTGTCCAATGACAGTCCAATGTCAACAAAGCCGATACAGAACTGCGCAGTAGGTTGCGCAGAAAAAAAACTTCTTGTTTCTGGGTCACAAGTTTTAGCGGCTGTTTCTTACATCTCATTTCCACAAAAACCTACATATCTCAGCTCAGAAATTACATACAAGCCTAAATGAGATACCATTGGAAAGAAATTGTTTACAGCTATCTAACTGCTGGTTTTATTGGTGTAGAGGACATTTTAAAAATTTGACTGAAGTACCTAGCTTATGGGGGTCTCCAGTCATACCCAATCTTCAGATCGTTATATAATGCTCATGGGGGGTCTCCAGTCATACCCAATCTTCAGATCGTTTTATTATGCTCATGGGGGTCTCCAGTCATACCCAATCTTCAGATCGTTTTATTATGCTCATGGGGATCTCCAGTCATACCCAATCTTCAGATCGTTATATAATGCTCATGGGGATCTCCAGTCATACCCAATCTTCAGATCGTTATATAATGCTCATGGGGGTCTCCAGTCATACCCAATCTTCAGATCGATTTATTATGCTCATGGGGGTCTCCAGTCATACCCAATCTTCAGATCGTTATAATATGCTCATGGGGATCTCCAGTCATACCCAATCTTCATATTGTTATATTATGCTCATGGGGGTCTCCAGTCATACCCAATCTTCAGATCGTTATAATATGCTCATGGGGATCTCCAGTCATACCCAATCTTCAGATTGTTATATTATGCTCATGGGGGTCTCCAGTCATACCCAACCTTCAGATCATTATGAGTTAGATTATCTTCACAGCACTCCGGACACATCCATAGGCGCTCCCATTCCCCTCTCAGCACATTCATCAGCGCCGTGCTGTTAATATGCTCACAGAATCACTCAGCACACACCTCGGAATAGTCCTATGATTCTAGCCACATGAAAGCCTGTGTCACCGCCATCACCTCCATCGTCATGCTGCTGGTGGTCATGGAGAAGGCGCCGCTGGCTTCCTTAACTGTTCTGCCTGAAGAGCGAGCTGTAAATGCCCATGCACTTTTCTCTCCTCGTGTAACAGACCCGTCTGTGAAGATCACCACATTTGTCTTATCCGACTTGTCCCTGATAAGTGTGCATACCTCGACATTGACAACAGCTGGATTCTGCTCCCGACAACTCCTATCGAGCATCACGACACAGGAGAATGTGAGATTGGGCGCTTCAGACCTTGGTATACACTCCTCACCTTGATGGAGGTCTGTAAGGCTGCAAACCTGCATGATGTCATCCTCTGCCCTACCCAGCCATGATTTTCCCCTTTTAAGCCTATTGTCCTTTTTCTTGAACAGCATGTGGTGCAAAACGTGCTTCAGATCTGAGCTTATCGAGGTATGCACGAGCTCTCCAGATCTTGATCCTGTAGTTCATGGTAGGGAAGTCAAGAAGGCACCTCATTGCTACACAAGAGGTGTCTCCAGTGCACCCCAGAATAATGCGCATTGCTTCATTTTGCACCTTCTCAAGTTTTTCAATTTGAGTATGGCTGACAGTGAGGATGGCAAGAGTATTCGATGGGAGAAAGTACAAGTCCCTGGAACAGAAGCAGAATGGTGTCTGCTCAGTGTTAGCGGCGGCCAGGACCCTCATGGCTGACAGGCCTTTGCGTGCTTTTGTTATGACATGGTCAACATGTTCTTTGAAGGACAGGCTGCGATTAAACCTTACTCTGAGGTTTGTCATCAGATTTGTTCTCGTCAAAATTTTCTCGCTGCTTTCCACTTCTAGTACGTCTGCCTTCACTGTTACTTTACTGAGACCTTCGAAGGGTTGACATGAGCATTAGAATCTGCACACCAGGAGGGGATGCTATTAAGTTCACTCTGCATTGACTTGGCAATCTCTTGACGATCTCATCCATGTCGATATACTAAGAGGTCATCAGATTGTTATATTAGGCTCATGTGTGGTGTACAGTCATACCCAACCTTCAGATGGTTAAGATCGTTGTATTACTCTTATGTGTAGTCTACAGTCATACCCAAACTTAAGATCGTTATATTACTCTTATGTGTGCGGTGTACAGTCTTACCAAACCTTCACATCGTTATATCAGGCTTATGTGTGGTCTACAGTCACACCCAACCTTCACATCATTGTATTAGGCTTTTGTGTGGTCTACAGTCTTACTACTCCTTCACATCGTTATTTTAGGCTTATGTGTCGTGTGCAGTCTTACCAAACCTTCACATCGTTATATTAGGCTTATGTGTGGTGTACAGTCTTACACAACCTTCACTTTGTTATATTAGGCTCATGTGAGGTCTACAGTCATACCTAATCTACAGATCGTTATATTAGGCTCATGTGTGGTCTACAGTCATACCTAATCTACAGATCGTTATATTAGGCTCATATGTGGTCTACAGTCATACCTAATCTACAGATCGTTATATTAGGCTCATGTGTGGTCTTCAGTCATACCTAATCTACAGATCATTATATTAGGCTCATGTGTGGTCTACAGTCATACCTATCTACAGATCGGTATATTAGGCTCATGTGTGGTCTACAGTCATACATAATCTACAGATCGTTATATTAGGCTTATGTGTGGTCTACAGTCATACCTATTTACAGATCGTTATATTAGGCTCATGTGTGGTCTACAGTCATACATAATCTACAGATCGTTATATTAGGCTCATGTGTGGTCTACAGTCATACCTAATCTACAGATCGTTATATTAGGCTCATGTGTGGTCTACAGTCTTACCTAATCTACAGATGGTTATATTAGGCTCATGTGTGGTCTACAGTCATACCTAATCTCTTTGAGTGCCCAAAACTCAGTGAGACAAGAAGAACGCTACTCCCTCCGAGACCAGACAAGTGGAACACCTTGTACGGAGAAAAAGAATAGCTTGTGAAAACATGCAAATTCCACTACATGGCATTGGGCCAAAGGGCGAAAGCTCATGAGCCGCTGGATCGATAACAACAACAACCTAATCTACAGATTGTTATATTAGGCTCATGTGTGGTCTACAGTCATACCTAATCTACAGATCGTTATATTAGGCTCATTAGTGGTCTACAGTCATACCTAATCTACAGATCGTTATATTAGGCTCATGTGTGGTCTACAGTCATACCTAATCTACAGATCGTTATTTTAGGCTCATTTGTGGTCTACAGTCATACCTAATCTACAGATCGTTATATTAGGCTCATGTGTGGTCTACAGTCATACCTAATCTACAGATCGTTATATTAGGCTCATGTGTGGTCTACAGTCATATCCTACCAAGCCCACTTGGGTATGTTATAGCCTCTTTACCTTCAGTGGAGACCTGTATGTTTATGCCTGTTTATATTTGTCCTATCCCAGCACTTCACCACAACAACTGTATGTTAATGTTTATATTTTTCCCATCCCAGCACTTCACCACAACAACTGTATGTTTATTGCTCATCATCTGCTGACCCTGGGCCACCAGTTTGCCCCCAAGTTGCCACTGCCAGACAATAAAACATATGTGGATCTCATCCAGAAGATTAGACACAGCGGAGTCCAGGTGTTTGTTTTCCAGGTCAACCAACAGCATGATCTACTCCTCCAGTACCTGGATGGCGCTGAGGGTGAGTTTTCTTACGCTGTGTTCACTCATATCATTTTAAACCACTGCTGTTGGTTTTTTTTTTTTTAAACTAGTTTTGTGTAGTAGAGATGGTGATGCTATGTATCCACAGTCCAGAGGTGTGAGCACATGTTCCCACAGTCCAGAGTTGTGGTGATCACATGTTCCCACAGTCCAGAGTTGTGGTGATCACATGTTTCCACAGTCCAGAGTTGTGATCACATGTTCCCACAGTCCAGAGTTGTGGTGATCACATGTTCCCACAGTCCAGAGTTGTGATCACATGTTTCCACAGTCCAGAGGTGTGATCACATGTTTCCACAGTCCAGAGTTGTGATCACATGTTCCCACAGTCCAGAGTTGTGGTGATCACATGTTCCCACAGTCCAGAGTTGTGGTGATCACATGTTCCCACAGTCCAGAGGTGTGATCACATGTTTCCACAGTCCAGAGTTGTGGTGAGCACATGTTCCCACAGTCCAGAGGTGTGAGCACATGCTCCCACAGTCCAGAGGTGTGATCACATGTTCCCACAGTCCAGAGTTGTGGTGATCACATGTTCCCACAGTCCAGAGGTGTGATCACATGTTCCCACAGTCCAGAGGTGTGAGCACATGTTCCCACAGTCCAGAGGTGTGGTGATCCCATTTTCCCACAGTCCATAGTTGTGGTGATCCCATTTTCCCACAGTCCAGAGTTGTGGTGATCACATGTTCCCACAGTCCAGAGTTGTGGTGATCACATGTTCCCACAGTCCAGAGTTGTGGTGAGCACATGTTCCTACAGTCCAGAGCTGTGGTGAGCACATGTTCCCACAGTCCAGAGTTGTGGTGAGCACATGTTCCAACAGTCCAGAGTTGTGGTGATCACATGTTCCCACAGTGCAGAGTTGTGATCACATGTTCCCACAGTCCAGAGGTGTGAGCACATGTTCCCACAGTCCAGAGGTGTGAGCACATGTTCCCACAGTCCAGAGGTGTGATCACATGTACCCACAGTCCAGAGTTGTGATCACATGTTCCCACAGTCCAGAGTTGTGATCACATGTTACCATAGTCCAGAGTTGTGATCACATGTTCCCACAGTCCAGAGTTGTGATCACATGTTCCCACAGTCCAGAGTTGTGATCACATGTACCCACAGTCCAGAGTTGTGATCACATGTTCCCACAGTCCAGAGTTGTGATCACATGTTCCCACAGTCCAGAGGTGTGATCACATGTACCCACAGTCCAGAGTTGTGATCACATGTACCCACAGTCCAGAGGTGTGAGCACATGTTCCCACAGTGCAGAGTTGTGATCACATGTTCCCACAGTCCAGAGTTGTGATCACATGTACCCACAGTCCAGAGTTGTGATCACATGTTCCCACAGTCCAGAGTTGTGGTGAGCACATGAACCCACAGTCCAGAGTTGTGGTGAGCACATGTATCCACAGTCCAGAGTTGTGGTGAGCACATGAACCCACTGTCCAGAGTTGTGGTGAGCACATGTATCCACAGTCCAGAGTTGTGGTGAGCACATGTTCCCACAGTCCAGAGTTGTGGTGATCACATGTTCCCACAGTCAAGAGTTGTGATCACATGTTCCCACAGTCCAGAGTTGTGGTGAGCACATGTTCCCACAGTCCAGAGGTGTGATCACATGTTCCCACAGTCTAGAGGTGTGATCACATGTTCCCACAGTCCAGAGTTGTGATCACATGTTCCCACAGTCCAGAGGTGTGATCACATGTTCCCACAGTCTAGAGGTGTGATCACATGTTCCCACAGTCCAGAGTTGTGGTGATCACATGTTCCCACAGTCCAGAGTTGTGGTGAGCACATGTTCCCACAGTCCAGAGTTGTGATCACATGTTCCCACAGTCCAGAGTTGTGGTGATCACATGTTCCCACAGTCCAGAGTTGTGGTGATCACATGTTCCCACAGTCCAGAGTTGTTGTGATCACATGTTCCCACAGTCCAGAGTTGCGGTGATCACAGCTGTCAGTGGATATTATCATTGCTTGTCTGTGCATGTGTGTGTGTTCATATTTGTGTGTGTTAATGGGGTGGGGGGGGGGGGGCACATCAAAGAAGCCTAGCCCAAAGATCTGCCCGACTGATGTCAGAGATATGGGATGGCTGCAGTGGAGCTAATGCTGTTCAAGCTCATTGAATGCAACACACACTTTGTCTAAGGAGCTCAGAGTTTGGGCCTATGTTTCCCTTTTTCTGTGTTGATCTTCCATGTCAAAGTCAGTGTTGTGTTAGTTGACTTGTAGGAGAGTCCAGAGATTTCTAGCTAACCTGACAGCTTCATCAGCTGAGGCTGTTAGTCCAGGTTGCCTGGTTGTCATGGATGTATGGTTTGTGAAATATTTGCAGGGTTTGCCAGTGTGGACAAGGACATGAACTTTGCGGTGGCAAACAAGGCTGTCAAACAGGTGCTGCTGCAGCTGTCTCATCTACACAAGATCTGGAAGCCAGTCCTGCCTGTGGCTGTCTACAAGAGGGCAATGGGTATGAGCTGTGTCTCTGTTTGTCCTCATATGTGTGTCTTTGTTTGTCCTCATATGTGTGTCTTTGTTTGTCCTCATGTGTGTGTCTTTGTTTGTCCTCATGTGTGTGTCTTTGTCCTCATGTGTGTGTCTTTGTTTGTTCTCATGTGTGTGTCTTTGTTTTTCCTCATGTGTGTGTCTCTGTTTGTCCTCATATGTGTGTCTTTGTTTGTCCTCATGTGTGTGTCTCTGTTTGTCCTCATATGTGTGTCTTTGTCCTCATATGTGTGTCTTTGTTTGTCCTCATGTGTGTGTCTTTGTTTGTCCTCATGTGTTTGTCTTTGTTCCTCCTCATGTGTGTGTCTTTGTTTGTCCTCATGTGTGTGTCTTTGTCCTCATGTGTGTGTCTTTGTCCTCATGTGTGTGTCTTTGTCCTCATGTGTGTGTCTGTTTGTTCTCATGTGTGTGTCTTTGTTTGTCCTCATGTGTGTGTCTTTGTTTGTCCTCATGTGTGTGTCTTTATTTGTCCTCACGTGTGTGTCTTTGTTTGTCCTCATGTGTGTGTCTTTATTTGTCCTCACGTGTGTGTCTTTATTTGTCCTCTTGTATATGTCATTGTTTGTCTTCATGTGTGTGTCTTTTTTTAGTCTTGTATGTGTCTTTTTTTGTGTGTCCTTATGTGTGTCTTTGTCTTATGTTTGTATCTTTGTTTGTTTTCATGTTTGTATCATTGTTTGTCCTCATTTAAGTCCCTGTTTGTCATCATGTATGTATCACTGTTTGTCCAGCCTTGTGTGTCTTTGTTTGTCCTTATGTTTGTATCTTTGTTGGTCCTCATGTTTGTGTCTTTGTTTGTCTGCATGTATGTCTTTGTTTGTCCTCATGTTTGTTCTTTGTTTGTATTATATGTCCTTGTCCTCATGACCACATATAACGACACACATAAAGACATTAAAAGAAAACACACGAAGACATGAAAAGATTCACATAAGGATATAAAAAGAAACTAACAGTTGGACTAGTAGTAGTAACCCCCACCCCTTTGTGGCATTGAAACCCTGGTACCAGTGATTCCCTTTGCGGTAGTGTGACCCTGGTAATGGTGAACTTCTTTGTAACCATCAGCATCTGATCCCCTTTTTAAGAGCTGGTTCTTATCATTTCTTGCTTGACTTCAAGAGAGTAAAAAAACATTTAGTATGTTTCTTGATGCTTTCACGATTCATCACCTGCGCCCAGAACTTTGTATACAGAAGGATATGGTTCTGACTTTACGGCTGCCCTGGTTAAACAGGCAGTCATGTTTGATCATTGCTGAATTTGTAGTTCAGTTATAAAGGATTCACTTATTTGCTTCATATATGTAATTGTTACTGTAGCATGCACCTGACGAGATACAGCGAAATATGCCAGGCAATAAATTGTGCAATCTGTTGTTTGTGTCTTCTGTGTTCAGATTTAGTTTGTTAGTTAGAATTCTTCATTCTACAGTTGCTGTGTTCAGATTTAGTTTGTTAGTTAGAATTCTTCATTCTACAGTTGCTTTGTTCAGATTTAGTTTGTTAGTTAGAATTCTTCATTCTACAGTTGCTTTGTCTTTGTGTCTATTAAATTGTGTTGATGTTTATCATTGTACTGTCACAGGTAAGCTGATTGGCTGTGTGGTTGAAAAGGTCAGTTACAGCATCACATCCTTGGAGGACATCGCGCAGGAAGCCGCCCACAGACTAACACAGTTACTAGCACCACTGGAGCAGGAGTCTGGGGAGTTCATGACCTGGCCAGGGGAAGTGGCCAGTGCAGAGTTGCTAAGACATGTGCCAGGATGGGTTAGGTTAACCGAACTCAAGTTCATGCTGGGGGCCAATTTGTCTGCCATTTCTGATCGCTGGGCTGAGGGCATGGGGCCATTGGCGGTCTCATTTAGCCCAGTTGAAGTCAAACAGCTGATCAGAGCTCTGTTTCAGAATACAGACAGACGAGCTACCATACTGGCAACCATCAGGTAAATCCTGCACTGCTTGCCCAAGAGACTTTGTCATGTCATGCCTGCTTGTACTTGTCTAGTGGTATGTGCTGTCTCTGTGTATCTGGCGACACAGAGGTCTGTGTGCTGGCAAGCAATCACTTACAGAAGACGGTTGTTTGGGGGCAGCTGGTTCATGTCCAACAAGACTTGGTGCGCTAGATGAGTCACATCAGTGGCTCGAGTTTGTGGGATTTCTGGTTGTGATTCCATGTACCTGATGTATGGTTCTTGGTCAGTAGCCATGTTTGTGTGCCCACAATCTGAGATGCCCTGCCAGAGACATCTGACAGTGAGTGCAGTCTCAAGGAATTTCTGCTATGCCAGAGACATCTGACAGTGAGTACAGTCTCACAGAATGTCTGCCATGCCAGAGACATCTGACAGTAAGTGCAGTCTCATAGAATGTCTGCCCTGCCAGAAACATCTGACAGTGAGTACAGTCTCACAGAATGTCTGCCCTGCCAGAGACATCTGACAGTGAGTACAGTCTCACAGAATGTCTGCCCTACCAGAGACATCTGACAGTAAGTGCAGGCTCACAGAATGTCTGCAATGCCAGAGACAACTGACAGTGAGTACAGTCTCACAGAACTTCTGCCCTTCCAGAGATAACTGACAGTGAGTACAGTCTCACAGAATTTCTGCCCTTCCAGAGACAACTGACAGTGAGTACAGTCTCACAGAACTTCTGCACTTCCAGAGACAACCGACAGTGAGTACAGTCTCACAGAATTTCTGCCCTTCCAGAGACAACTGACAGTGAGTACAGTCTCACAGAACTTCTGTCCTGCAAGAGACAACTGACAGTGAGTATAGTCTCACAGAACTTCTGTCCTGCCAGAGACAACTGACAGTGAGTGCAGTCTCACAGAATGTCTGCCCTGCCAGAGACAACTGACAGTGAGTGCAGTCTCACAGAATGTCTGCCCTGCCAGAGACAACTGACAGTGAGTGCAGTCTCACAGAATGTCTGCCCTGCCAGAGACATCTGACAGTGAGTGCAGTCTCACAGAACTTCTGCCCTGCCAGAGACAACTGACAGTGAGTGCAGTCTCACAGAATGTCTGCCCTGCCAGAGACAACTGACAGTGAGTGCAGTCTCACAGAACTTCTGCTATGCCAGAGACATATGACAGTGAGTGCAGTCTCATTGAATGTCTGCAATGCCAGAGACATCTGACAGTGAGTACAGTCTCACAGAACTTCTGCCCTGTCCAAGTTGTCAGCAGGGATCTTGCCCCCACACTCATTTGACTGCTGTAGTGACAGTCCAGCAAGCTGGCCTTGTGTGTCTCATCAGCTTCTCATGGCCTCCTGTGGACCATCAGCTTCTCATGGCCTTGTGTGTATCATTAGCTTCTCACGGCCTTGTGTGTATCATTAGCTTCTCACGGCCTTGTGTGTATCATTAGCTTCTCACGGCCTTGTGTGTATCATCAGCTTCTCATGGCCTTGTGTGTATCATTAGCTTCTCACGGCCTTGTGTGTATCATCAGCTTCTCATGGCCTTGTGTGTATCATTAGCTTCTCACGGCCTTGTGTGTATCATCAGCTTCTCACGGCCTTGTGTGTATCATCAGCTTCTCATGGCCTTGTGTGTATCATCAGCTTCTCATGGCCTTGTGTGTATCATCAGCTTCTCATGGTCTTGTGTGTATCATCAGCTTCTCATGGCCTTGTGTGTATCATCAGCTTCTCATGGCCTTGTGTGTATCATCAGCTTCTCATGGTCTTGTGTGTATCATCAGCTTCTCATGGCCTTGTGTGTATCATCAGCTTCTCGTGGCCTTGTGTGTATCATCAGCTTCTCACGGCCTTGTGTGTATTATCAGCTTCTCACGGCCTTGTGTGTATCATCAGCTTCTCACGGCCTTGTGTGTATCATCAGCTTCTCGCGGCCTTGTGTGTATCATCAGCTTCTCACGGCCTTGTGTGTATCATCAGCTTCTCACGGCCTTGTGTGTATCATCAGCTTCTCATTTCCTTGTGTGTATCATCAGCTTCTCATGGCCTTGTGTGGACCATCAGATTCTCACGGGCAGATCCCGGTGAGAGTGACAGACATGATCACTCGATGTGCCTACAACCAGAGAGTACCAATGCATGTGCCTACAACCAGAGAGTACCGATGTATGTGCCTACAACCAGAGAGTACCGATGTATGTGCCTATAACTAGAGAGTACCAATGTATCTGTTGTCCTCTTGGCTGCCTCAAATCTCTGAAAAGAGCCCAGCTGGAGGTTGACCAGTGACTGACCAAACATATCCCGGGGCCAGCTGACCACTCTCTCCACCTTTCTACAGACATTTGGTCCTGTTCGTTTTACCTCTATAAAGACTTGTTTGTCATCAGAGAGTTGTATTTGCCTTGTTTTTTTTTTCTGCAGACATTGTTTTCTGTAAACTGTATTTGTTTGTTTTCATATGTCATGTCATGCTCCAAGAGTACAGCTTTTGTTGCTCCATGTCTCCGTTAACACGAACTTAGGACATTCCCACATGTGCTCTGACCCCTTCCCTAGTAACCAATAAGTTCCCATACTAATTAAAGGTTCATCTGTTTTGTTCCCCCAACGGGTAGAAAATTGTCTCCAGATATGGATGCTGCATCTGTTCTGTTGCAGTTTACTTGATCCCACAAAGCTTTCACAATGTCCACTTTATACAAAGTAGCTTACCAACTGTTGGGGGGGGGGGGGTGTGTGTGTGTGTCTGTCATACGCTCATCAGAGTGATGCAGGGACAAGCCACCATTTTCTGTCACCAGTGTTTCATTTAACCTGGTTGGTTCAACTTTTCTGCACCCCCATTTTTGTATTCTGTAACTTATTAAGTTGTTCTGTGTGTGTGTCCAATGTTTTGTGTCCGCAACCAGTGGAAGAACTAATTGTGAGTAGTGTCTGCAACCAGTGGAAGAACTAATTGTGAGTAGTGTCTGCAACCAGTGGAAGACCTAATTGTGAGTAGTGTCTGGGACCAGTGGAAGACCTAATTGTGAGTAGTGTCTGCAACCAGTGGAAGAACTAATTGTGAGTAGTGTCTGGGACCAGTGGAAGACCTAATTGTGAGTAGTGTCTGCAACCAGTGGAAGAACTAATTGTGAGTAGTGTCTGGGACCAGTGGAAGACCTAATTGTGAGTAGTGTCTGGAACAGGATAAAAACACTTTTAAAAAAAACTGTTTTACTAAGAGCAGAACAATGATGTAACACTAAATGTTTTGAGGCATGGAGAGAAACCAAAAACGTTTTTACCAAGAGCAGAACAATGATGTAACACTAAAACAGTGTTTTGAGGCACCGAGAGAAACAAAAACAAAAGGCAATACATGTTAAACAATTCAAACAGTGTTACCAATAACATTTAAAGTACAGGCAAAGTCATCTGTACGATCAATAGTAATATTGATCATTGCGTTATGAATATCAAGCTGGCGTTCTGGTGGCAACATTGTTGAGAATCGACCTGCCCTTCACTTGGATTATTACAGAAAAGGCAGCCAGCATATTTAACGTGGCATCAGGAAAAACAGCGGTTGGAATCAGTTTAAAGACATTTGAGAAATTGTTCATCTTTTACAGACTGGTTGATCGGAAGGTCGTGGGTTCGCTCCATGGCGGAGCCGGACTTTTTTCAAAAATGACCTTGACTCCCAGGACGACCCAGCCTTGAGTGGGTCCCGGGAAAGTAAAGGCGGTCGGCGTGATGCTGACCACATCATCCTTCTTGGTCTATAAAAATATACGTCTAGCCCCATATGCCTAAAGGCGTGGAAAGTTTCCTTGACTCACTGTTTACAGACTGTTTAGTGAAACTGCAGAACATTGATGCAACTAGAAACTCTAGGGCGTACTGTTAGGCGTTTCTATGAGAACAGTTAAAATGTAATGTACTGGAGGCGTGGACACGCACACCCCAGCCATTGTGTACAGACTATAGGAATAACTGAGTGGTAGTAGGGGCATAGACAAGGGAAATAATTCCTGCTAATGATCTAGCACTTTCAGTAAATATGTTGTTACTAACTATTTAATCAAAATAAATGATGCTAAATTGGTGATGACAGATTGTGTATATGAGATGATAATACAACGTTTATGGTAGACAATATCCTCTATAATGAAAGCCAAGCGGGGTCTGGCTGCGATAAGAGTGATGGCGGCGGAAAACTGTGAGCAGCGTCATCTATGTCTTCTTTACCAGGGTCTGGTCCTTTCTGTTTTTGAATACGCGATGGCGATCCTGACTCTCAGCCATAAGTAGATGGAGAGGATACAGAACGAGGCTATGCGCATTATACTTGGGGGTACGATTTTCCGACCATGGAAGACAGAATCCAAATTTCCCGAGCTCGTGACTACCTCACAGTCAAGGCGGACACACAACATCCATTTCATAGTCAAGTCAATAAGATAAAAGACAGCGGGTTAAAAAGAGTCAAATCAAGGCTGGGTTAAGCCGAGGACATTATTTTATTGGTATGTTTACTTGAGGACATAGAACCCGTCGAGGAGTGGGTGCAAGTGCCTTCAGAGTGCTGTACATCTTGTTCTGTGCATCCAACTAGACAGAAAATGCAGACAACAGAGTCCGGCTGCTGTAGAAGCAGTAGTTCAAGCCTTGATTTTCGAGAACGCTCTAGAAGGTTAGCTGTCATTAACACAGATGGTTCTGACATCCGCCAAGGTTAGAAGCTTGTGGACTTTCACGGCTCAAGTTTAGAGGGAGAGAGTTGTAAAAGAAGATTCTGGAGCTTTTGCCGTAACTACAAGTAGTCTGACTATGGAGGTCATGGCTGTGACTAAAGCAGTAACATGGCTAGAGACACAGACTTTCACTGGGGCATGCTTTCTCAGTGACTCGATGAGTATGCCCAGGAAGATAGAGAAGGGCTGGGTCCAAAGGCAGTGGTTGGTGGCTCTACAGAATTCACGGCTGACAAGGATATGTTTCATTTTCGTGCTAGGACATGTTGGGCTA